ACAACAATTTTTGAGTGTTTACAGATTAACACCAAACCCTAAAACCATGTCTCGAATGTCGCCTGCAGAGTTGATGTTCACCAGATGATTAAGTCTGTATTTAACAAATTACTACCAGAGAGGAAGACGAGAACATCAAGGAATCAAGATAATGTAAATAAATATTTTAACCCTGGTGATAAAGTGTTATTTAAAATGTACCAACGTGGAAAAGAATTCTGGGAAGATGGCGTTATTAAAAACGGATGGGAAAAAATGACATACATAGTAAGGGGATAAAGATAGGAACATAAGCGACATCTTAATCAGTTCAAAAAGAGATTCACTGATTTAGTAAGTCCACGAAAGGAGCTATCGATGGAAATATTGTATGGCATGTTTGACGTACCCACGCCATCATAAATTAGTGAACAAAGGAGGTACAGTAAAAGAAAAAGAACAGCAACGGGACATTTGAATATTGAACCGAAGCTGAAGAAATATAGACTCCAGTGGAAGTCATCTCAAAGGGGAGGTGTTATATAAGAATAAAGTGTCGCTGCCGACACTTGAGTTTGAACATAGATCGCCAGTTAGCAAACACAGGCGATACCATTATTGAATTAAGTAGACCACATGATCAGCGGAAACGTAGGAAGTCGCGGGAAGTCTAAACGATCTCTGTTTCTAGTCTATCCTCTATTAATATTCGGATCACCATTTCTACTCTCTCCTCTATTACTATACGGACCGCTATTTTCTACTGTATTCACTATACTATTTCTCTATACTATTCACTATAATATTTCTCTATTCTGATTACTATTCGGTGGTTACTTTTCGAGTGAATATTATCGAGCAAGTATTATTAGTGCGAGTGATATTCGAAAACGTCTGACACCAGCATTGTTCAACGGCGGACTATAGTTATATCCACCATTACATTACTACAGCGACCATTTTGAAAGTGATATCACAAAAGTGGCAACGAGTGTTCGCTGACATCTAACAAGATCTGCAATATATTCGATCTTGTCTTGGCATCTCAATTCCAGTCAATTTTTCATAGAGGTGATGTGGTTTCTGTCTTTCTTTCCTACAAATATTTTTATGCCAACTGTTCTGGCGAGCTTTTTTCCATGGTGATCTGAGTTACCCAGTAATGATCTCATTTTCTGTCTCTCTAATCCCCTACGTACTAGTAGCACTTCCACCTTGCTTGGGGTGAAATGATTATATATATATATGTAAAAATTTATCATAGTTAACCTGTAGAAAAGACAATATTTATAAATGTTATGGGATCTTACCCATAATAAAAATAATGGACTATTCCATACTTAATAAATACTGCGACTCAGGAGTAGGCAGTCAGTCTGTCGCTCACTTTCTTAAAAAGGCCTTGTGCCACATGACGCCCTCGTGGGGGGACGACTAAATATAGTCTGTCGCTCACTTTCTGAGCAACGGTTCGGTTCAACTCTCTGTCTACGGACGGAGAGGAACCCGAAGGAGGCTACGCCGAAGGGCGGAGTCACCTTCGGGGAGGTAAAACCGGCCCTGAACCCGTTTATATACGGGTTCAAATGGGCTATTTTTTTGGCCGAGCCTAATGGCTCGGAAATGCCCACGTTAAAAGGCCTTGTGCCACATGACGCCCTCGTGGGGGACGACTAAATATAGTCTGTCGCTCACTTTCTGAGCGACGGTTCGGTTTACCTCTCTGTCTACGGACGGAGGAACCCGAAGGAGGCTACGCCGAAGGGCGGAGTCTCCTTCGGGAGGTAAAACCGGCCCTGAACCCGTTTATACGGGTTCAAATTGGAGCTATTTTTGGCCGAGCCTAATGGCTCGGAAATGCCCACGTTAAAAAGGCCTTGTGCCACATGACGCCCTCGTGGGGGGACGACTAAATATAGTCTGTCGCTCACTTTCTGAGCGAACGGTTCGGTTTAACTCTCTGCTTTCGGGCGGGAGGAACCCGAAGGAGGCTACGCCGAAGGGCGGAGTCTCCTTCGGGGAGGTAAAACCGGCCCTGGACCCGTTTATACGGGTTCAATGGGCTATTTTTTGGCCGAGCCTAATGGCTCGGAAATGCCCACGTTAAAAAGGCCTTGTGCCACATGACGCCCCTCGTGGGGGACGACTAAATATAGTCTGTCGCTCACTTTCTGAGCGACGGTTCGGTTCAACTCTCTGTCTACGGACGGAGAGGAACCCGAAGGAGGCTACGCCGAAGGGCGGAGTCTCCTTCGGGAGGTAAACTCGGCCCTGAACCCGTTTATACGGGTTCAAATTGGGCTATTTTTTTTTGGCCGAGCCTAATGGCTCGGAAATGCCCACGTTAAAAAGGCCTTGTGCCACATGACGCCCTCGTCGGGGGACGACTAAATATAGTCTGTCGCTCACTTTCTGAGCGAACGGTTCGGTTTAACTCTCTGCTTTCGGGCGGGAGGAACCCGAAGGAGGCTACGCCGAAGGGCGGAGTCTCCTTCGGGAGGTAAAACTCGCCCTGACCCGTTTATACGGGTTCAATGGGCTATTTTTGCCCGAGCCTAATGGCTCGGAAATGCCCACGTTAAAAAGGCCTTGTGCCACATGACGCCCTCGTCGGGGACGACTAAATATAGTCTGTCGCTCACTTTCTGAGCGAACGGTTCGGTTTAACTCTCTGCTTTCGGGCGGGAGGAACCCGAAGGAGGCTACGCCGAAGGGCGGAGTCTCCTTCGGGAGGTAAAATCGGCCCTGGACCCGTTTATACGGGTTCAATGGGGCTATTTTTTGCCGAGCCTAATGGCTCGGGAATGCCCACGTTAAAAGGCCTTTGTGCCACATGACACCCTCGTGGGGGTGACTGAATATCGTCTGTCGTTCACTTTCTGAGCGACGGTTCGGTTTAACTCTCTGCTTTTTCGGGCGGGAGGAACCCGAAGGAGGCTACGCCGAAGGGCGGAGTCTCCTTCGGGAGGTAAAACTCGGCCCTAAACCCGTTTATACGGGTTCAAATTGGGCTATTTTTTGGCCGAGCGTAATGGCTCGGAAATTCCCACGTTAAAAAGGCCTTGTGCCACATGACGCCCTCGTGGGGGGACGACTAAATATAGTCTGTCGTTCACTTTTGAACAGAATGCTTGGTTTGAACTCTCTTCCTACGGGCGGGAGGAACCCGAAGGAGGCTACGCCGAAGGGCGGAGTTTCCTTCGGGGAGGTAAAACCGGCCCTGAACCCGTTTATACGGGTTCAAATGGGCTATTTTTTGGCCGAGCCTAATGGCTTGGGAATTACCCACGTTAAAAAGGCTGTGTGCCACATGACACCCTCGTGGGGGTGACTGAATATCGTCTGTCGTTCACTTTCTGAGCGACGGTTCGGTTGAACTCTCTGCCTTCGGGCGAGGAGGAACCCGAACGACGCTACGCCGAGAGGCGGAGTCTCGTTCGGTGAGGTAAACCGGCCCTGAGCCCGTTTATACGGGTTCAATGGGCATATTTTTGGGCCGAGTCCACGGGCTCGGAGATCCCACGTTAAAAACGGCCTTGTGTCACATGCTCCAGTAAGTGGGGGGTTCAACTCCTGACAGGCTGTTCGGTTGAACTCTCTGCTTTCGGGCGGGGATGAACCCGAAGGAGGCTACACTGAAGGGCGGAGTCACTTTCGGCGGTGGGGTGGGGGGTAAACCGACGCTGAACCCGTTTATAAGGGTTCAATGGGCATATTTTTGGCCCGAGCCCACGGGCACGGAGATCCCACGGGCTCGGAGATCCCACGTTAAAAACCCGGCCTTGTGCCACATGATGCCCCAGAGGTGGGGGGTGACTGAATATCGTCAGTCGTTCGCGTCTCGACCGGCTGTTCGGTTGAACTCTCTGTCTTCGGGCGGGGAGGAACACTAACAAGGCTACGCCGAAGGGCGGAGTTTCTTTCGGTGAGGTAAACCGACACTGAACCCGTTTATACTGGTTCAATGGGCATATTTTTTGGCCGAGCCAACTGGCTCGGAGATCCCACGTTAAAAAACCGGCCTTGTGCCACATGATGCCTCAGTGGGGAGGGTGACTGAATATCGTCAGTCGTTCAAGTCGAGTCAGTAGTTCAAGTCGAGTCAAGAGTCGAGTCAGAGGCAGTCCGAAACAGAGTCGCGTTCAGACAATTACTGCAAGACATTGGAATAGTGATACTGGTCGAGACTACATTGTTCTCTCTACTAAACCTGATTGTTCATACTAACACTTTTACTTCTCTGTATATATTCATGTTTGTAATATATCTGTGTTATTCCATACCTGTGTTCGAGTTCTTCTTTATTAGTTCTACCTTGGACTATCACCGTGGTACAAGGAATCGGACCATAACAATAAATATAAATGACAATAGGAAAACTGTAATAGTTGCCGACGCGTTTCGTCCAATGTGGACTTTCTCATGGAAATTAATCTACGCCCAGGGCTTTTCCCTATTTAACCTTTCTTAACAGAATTACTACTCTCCCAAACAAACGAACACAACAATATCGTGAAATCAAAAGAAAATGATTGAATCCGTCAACACAGCAACAATAACAATATCTCCACACGTGACAGTAATTGACGTAATTTTCTGTTAACAGTATGAAAATAGCGTTCTCTAAATTCTTCCACTTGCTAAGGACATTTTGTTATTATTAGTAACTTTGTTTAAATAAATTAATTTTGTTTTTAGCTTTGAGAAAGCCGACATTCGACGAAACGCATCGACAACTATTGCAGTTTTCCTATTGACACACACACACACACACACACACACACATATATATATATATATATATATATATATATATATATGAATCTGTATATCTAGATAGGTATTCAGATCATTCTGTTCATTATCTATCAGAGATGTCGATGCAAATAAAACATTGTGGATATGCTACTAACCTTGTTGCTATTTTTCTACGTGGGGCGCCATTGAAATTGTTACATTTATCTATTTACAGTAATAACGAATAAATAGAAAAGGGAAAAAAACAAATAGACGCTTAAATATTACGACAAAAGAAAGAAAGAATGAATGAATGAATGAAAGAAGAATTCTAAAAAGGATAAGTAAAAGGGAATAATAATTCGAAAGGAAAGAAAGAAAGAAAGAAAGAAAGACAGACGGAAAGAAAGGAAGAAAGACAGAAGGAGAGAAAGAAAGGAGAGAAATAAGGAAATATAGAAAGAAGAATTCTAAAAAATAAAAAGGAAGAATAATTTGACAAGAATGTAGGAAAGAAAGAAGGAAGTAAAGATAGAAAGAAAGACGAAAAGAAAGAAAGACGAAAAGAAAGAAAGAAAGATAGAAAGATAGAAAGAAGAAAAGAAAGACGAAAAGAAAGAAAGAAAGAAAGAAGGAAAGAAAGAAAGAAAGAAAGAAGGAAAGAAAGAAAGAACGAACGAACGAAAGAAAGAAAGAAAGAACGAAAGAATAAATCTAAAAAGAATAATTAAAAGGGAAGAATAATTTGATAAATATTAGAAATACTGTAACAAAGAAAGGAAAAATGGAACATTCGTGAGGAAGATGGAAAACAAAAAATCAAAAAGAAGAAACCTAAAAACAGAATAATCGTAAAGATGAAAAGAACAAAAAAGTGTAGAAGAAGCCAGACGAATTTATATTAATGTAGAATACAGTAACTGTTTCTACCAATAAAATATTTATCTTAAAATAGATATTTTAAATAGAATTATACATATTTAATGTGTCTACTTGCTTTTAAAATATTTTTATTCATTGCAGTGAGCATTTTCTTCGTCTGTTTCATCCATTAATATGGTTAAGCCATAAATCTTCTAACCTTTTATATTATCGTGTCGTGTTCGTGTCGATGTAATTCAAATATAACAAAAGACAGAAATAAACAAGTTTGTTTTTCAGTTTGTTATTAATTATTAAGAAGATATTTCATTCGGAGAAGCAGCAGCGGGAAATGATTTCAAGGAGACATTGTCGAGGAAAAGAAAATCACATCAGATTGTATTTAATTTGAAAGGCAAAATAAAACTGATTTCGCTGCTGATTATCTATAATACAGAATAAAAGACTGAAGAGAAGATGGTCGAAAATAGATGTCTATAGCGAACATACATATGTGCCTACGCCGACACACACACATATACATATATCTGTGCTTGTATATTTAAATTTGGAAAAGACAGACTTATAGGTTTATTGGATAATTGATTCATTGGCGACGTCTCATTGGACCGTCTACAAAATGAAGGTTGATCGTCTGGACTTGAAATCCTTTATTACGCTATAGTTTCAGAAGAAGAAGAAGAAGGGGAAAAAGAAGGAGGGGCAAGAAGAAGAAGAAGAAGAAGAAGAAGGAGAAGAAGAAGAAGAAGGGGAGAGAGGATGTCAAGAAGAAGAAGAAGGAGGCAGAGGAGCAAAGGAGTGAAGAAGAGGAAGAAGAAGGAAGAGGAGCAGGAGGAGGAGGAGAAAAAGACGATGACGAGGAAGAAGGGGGGAAAGGATTTAAAGAAGTAGAAGGAGGAGGAGAAAAGGAGGAGGAAAGGAGAAGCAGGAGGTTTTAAGCAAAAAGATGAAGACGCTAAAGAATAGGAAGAAGGTGGAGGAGGAGAAGGGGTGGAGGAGCAGCAGGGGGTGGAGGAGGAGAAGGGGAGGAGGAGCAGGAGGGGGTGAAGAAAAAGAAGAAGACGCTAAAGAATAAGAAGTGGGTGGAAGAGAAGGAGAGGAGGAGTAGGAGAAAAAAGAAAAGAAGAAGAATGAATGAATGAATGAATGAATTATTAGTGCTATTAATCAAATCTGCTTATACGGAATTATTAAAAAGAAAATCGAAAACTGTGCAAACTGATTAAAAAAGGATGGCGGGAAAATGAGAAAAAAGTAGACAAATATCAATAATATATTGATCTAGGTATATTTAGGAAAAATATATTGATCCTGGTATATTTAGGAATAATATATTGATACAGATATATTTAGAATTAATTCACACTGAGGCTCCCAAACCATACCTTATGTTTCCACAAAGATGCCTGTCTCAATTTAATATAAATTCTCTCAAGTACTTTCAGGTGATAGTCGAATGAGGTCCAGTGAACACTGATAACATATCCTCATAGAAGGACCATATACTTTGCCTATTTATATTATTGTCATGTTCTGAGATTACATACCCGGAAGAAAAGGAACACTTACGCATTTTTTTCAGTCGACAGTTGTTGGCACATATTGTACATTTCTCGTCTTTCGTAGCTAAGTAGTCCTATCTATGTCGACAGTCATGCACTGAAACTTAAGTTGATAAATGACGGAAGTGGGTTAAAAGATAGGTAGGACATGTTTGTGAATTGATTTTAACACTGTCCGTGAGAAGAATATGACACAGGAATTGGCTGCAAAACAACCTTTCCTAACATTGGCAGAGAATTGTTTAGAAAATCTTGCACCAAGTTCTCCAATCAATCAAAGATAATCTTAAATGTACAGGACATTTTTCGGTGCCAGAAAAGCTTGGTATGTGGAAATGAACAGTCTTAGCACGAAAACAAGATTGTATTACGCCATGAGGATAGCCATTATTACATAAGATTTTTTTTAATGAATTATACTTCCTAGATTCAAATTATTAATGCACGATAGTGTAAGGCAGTAGTTCCCAAACTTCATTTTCTCTGGGCCGCATTTTTGGAATTAAAATTTTCTCGCGCCTCACCAAAGTGCAGTCACAGTGTAAAGTAAGCAGTCCGACGGCAAAGAAGGCCCAGAGATATGGTTAAAGGAAGATAGGCGTGGATTCGAAATCAGAACATTATCATTGATAACTTCGTCCTCCAATTTGCAGACCCTAGTTACTATATTCTTAATACTTGGTATAATGCAAGAAATAGGTCAATAATTATTTATAACTATTTATACTGGGACTCATGCATACAGTTACAAGTAATCCATAATAATATTTTAAATTTTGAGATCATATTTATTTTTGGCATATGAATTTTTTGAAACTGTTTCTAAATCTTTGATTGTCTTTTTATCATTCTGCTTCATCTGCTATCCTCTTCCCCTGCACTTATGGGGTGTGCCACACTGTTTGGGAGCCACTGCATTAAAGTGTGGCCGATGAGACCCCCACCCACCGATCTTCTTTGCCAACTTTAATACTAAAGTATTCTAACTAGACATGCTGGAACAGATTCGCCATTTTCACAAGGTAAAATCTTGTAATCTTGATCATCCTTCTTATAAGGCTTGTCATCTCCCGAATCCATTGCAACCATCCTGCATTTATCATTTAAATATAAAAATCAGAGAGCTGGTTAAAAGGACGTAACCGTGGATTTGAAGTTAGAACATTATCATTGATAAATCTCTCCTACAATTTGCAGACCCTAGTTCCTATATTTTTTATACTTGATTTAATGCCAAAAAAACCCCCCAAAATCAAAAAACAAAATGATAAAATAAGTCAATAATTATTTGTACCTATTGATAGTAGAATTTATGCATGCAATTACAAGTAATCCTTAATAATATTTAAAATTTTGAAATCATATTTATTTTTTAGTCCATGAATGTTTTGAAAATGTTTCTAAATTTTTGATTTTCTTTCAATCATTCAGCCTTACCTGCTATCCTCTTCCACCTCACCTGATATCTTCTTCCGCCACACTTGTGAGGCGCACGGCACCGATTGAGAACAACTGATCTTAAGCCGTAATAACATTTATTTTACATTGCTTAGAACAGAACAGGTCTATAAATGTGGGCTTTCGTTACATTAATGAAAACGTTGTGGAATGTGGTATCTTATTCTGCTCTTTTCCTTGCTGTTTGGGAACGTGTATAGTCTCCATGCCTTAGATATGCTAATTAGGCAAGAATTTAGATATCACTACAGTAAAAGAATTTTATCTTCGTATCGCCACATCCAATAAACATAAGTCACTATCATTCCCCTTTTCAAAAGTGAAGTAAAGCACAGGAGGAAAACCATTTAGACATTCACGAAACCCTTCCGACTCCAGTTCACTATTGAACATAGAAAATATCTTCATAATGAAGATAATAGTTAAATTGTCTGGTACAAGCCAACAACCTTTGCTTGTAAAATGTTTGCAATTGCTGGGCCTATAGAACTACTCATTGACATTCCATTATTCCGCCTGCAAACCACATTATCGAAGCTGCACTCAACAAGTATAGTAGAAAACTTCAAAGCATACGAAGGGGAAAAGATTATCGCTATGTTTTTTAATCGATTCACTCGAAGCAAGGCGATAATGCCACTAAAACGCAAGGGGAGTGAAAGAGAATGAGAAGACACTCCTAAACCAGAAACCCGAGTATAAACAAATGTCTGTTATTTACTGAAACGAAATATAATAAATTGCTGATGTAAAATGAGCACAAAAATTCGTTGTGAGAATTAAATGAATAATTCTGTACATAATTGGCAGATGTAAACGAATATTTAATACAATTTTCCGTAGGCATATTTAATTCTGATTTTAACACTTCAGCCAATAATTTTGAGACTTTTGTTGCACGGAACCAATTGTAGACAAAATGATCATTTATTTATTTTTCTTTTTAAATTATTCTTAATGATGTTAGCGTTTTCGAAAGTCACAGCTGACTCTAATTTGTCAAAATTCGCTTCGTCATTAAATTTTGTCATCATCCTACTCACTTGATCATTATGATTCAAAATAAACCACCCACTCATTTTGTCAGGTTTTTTTTAATCATTATAAATGTATTACGACTTAGGTCGGTTTAGGACCCGGAACTGAATTCAATTTGAGCAACTGTAGTGCCGCCTAATGGATGGAAATGATTATTGATTGATTCATTTGAACGGTTTATCAACACATTGCAGGTTATTTAAAGCCAGAAAATATTTTTCTTTTAGAAAATGCTAAATTTAGTGATACAAATTTTACTGATTAACCCATAACTGGAGGGGTAACAGGTGGATTGATATCTTTCCCAATGTTAATTGCGTAAATATAAGTAAATATATCGATTCCAACGGGAATTGGAACTCAGCTCAACGATTAACAATTCCCAGTCGATATCCGTTACACCACACGCACATCGACACTTACAGCTCCTGGTATTTTTGCACGATCACCCATCTAATGAATGACCAAGCTGGACGTTGCTTAAATTGAGTAATCGTACGAGAATCAGTGGTTCAATCTAGTGTGTCCGTAACCTCTGAAGATCACTGAGCCCGTTTCTTCGTGCCTTCATTTTATCCAAAGAAAGTGATGAAAGAATGAGTAGCCATTTTGAAAGTACAAAAGATTTTAAAGTAAGATAAGAACAGAGGAGATGCAAAATAAAACTGCAAAGAAAAAGAAACAAAACACAAAAAATAAAAGAAAAATATTTATTAATGTAAACAGCAACTTTGTAAGAACGACCACTAAATATAAATACAAGATGGTGCTGTTTCGCCCCTTCCCGCTGGGATAGTCTTGGGGCGACGGTCTTGATTCACTTCAAGATTGCCTTCTTTCTCGTTTGGACAGTGGGTAAGTACTTGTAACTATTATTATATCTACCGTGAAACATTACATACCAATTATTTGCGAATTTTGACTCAGGAGCTCAGACAGAAGAGTTAAAATTGTTCGAGAACGCAGAGATCAAAGGGTTAATGAATTTGATTTTCTCATTGATCTTTAATTCCCAGAAGTGATCACAAAGAGATTTACATATGACTTGAAAGAAGAGATATAAAGACTTGTCCATTTTCTATTGTCATCCTCACTGCTTTTACTTAGTTGATCAGTGAAAAATGATATGACCTATCCAGTTTACTGACAACTCTAAAAGATATGGCAATCAACAGGGCCAGTGGATAATCAAAGTGTGAGATTAGATATATTTTTCTTATTTGAATAATGAACATTTGTCTCAATATAACTCCCATAAAGCAAGCGGGAGTGACGGGATCCCAGCCGTCGTCATAAAGAAATGTGCCCCCGAGCTGGCCCCAGTTTTCTCCAAACTCTACAACTAATGTCTCGTTGTTTCCTGCTTTTCAGCTTGTTGGAAGTCCTCCTTTGTAGTTCCTGTTTTTAAGAACTCGGGAGAACAGTCTGACCCCTCTTACTATTGTCCTATTATTCTCCTAACGATTTTCGTCAAAGAATTCGAGGCTTTAATCAATGTGAAATAGTTAATATCTTTCCACTCTCGACCTACTCTCTGACAAACAATATGGCTTCTGTTTTTCCAGGTCTACCGTTGATGTGTTAACAGCCATCACTGAATATGTATATCAAGCTCTTGATAATAACGGCGAAGCTCGGGCTGTGGCTCTAAATATATCAAAGGCATTTGAAACGGTTTGACACGTTGATCTTCTACGTAAGCTCCACGGCTACATTACTACAGGATGGTTGTTTGATTTAATCTAATCATTCCTATCAAATCGTGAAATGAAGGTCGTTTCGAACGGGCTCGCTTCCAGATACTTTCACACAAACGCGGGTCTCCCACAACGCTCTATCCTGTGTTCTGCCCTGTTTCGGATCTTCATCAATGATCTTAATGACATCATCAGCTACCAAGTAGGCATTTATGCAGATGAGACTACAATATACGCCTGTTTCAATAGTAAATCCGAAATGGGGCCGATAAAGAAAAGGACTACCATTCAGTGATTAGCTAGGACAGGAAATGTCTCTAAAACGAATATGCTCATTTAACTATCATAGAGAAACATTCCTGCCCACCATCAGCATGGCTGATGCTAAACTCCCGAAGAGCAAAACACGGCGCCTTCTTGGTCTCACGTTTCCAACTGACTTGAAGTTGATTGACTACATCGAATCAATAGCTGAATCTACTGCAAGGAATGTTAGGTCACTATGTCGTGCTAGAAATTTTTTCTAGTTCATTTTGCACATTCACAAATCTACCATTCGTCCCGGTATTGAATATTGTTGCCATATTTGGTCAAGTGGTCCAGTATTCATCTGGAGGTTCTTGACAAAATCCAAAGAAGGATCTGCAATGTAATCGATCATGTCTAGGCATCTTGACTTCAGTCACTTTCTCACCGACATGACGTGGCTTCTCTCTGTCTTTTCTACAAATATTTTCATGACAATTACTCTGATGAGCTTTTTTCACTGGTACTCGGACTACGAGAATTTTTAGCGTGTTACTAGATTGTCATTTAGG